ATGCCACAGGTAACCCACTCAATACATAAATACCTCCCCATTAGATGGACAGGGTTTATCCCTGATGAGTCTAGTGGAAGGGGATGCCACAGGTAACCCACTCAATACATAAATACCTCACCATTAGATGGACAGGGTTTATCCCTGATGAGTCTAGTGGAAGGCGAAGACACTCAGTCTGGGATGGATTCATCAGTGATGACTAGAAAATAAAAACCAACATCTGTTAAAATGAATACTCTTATTTCATAAGCCAAACCATCGACATTGGTAATCTAGATCATTAACACAATGAATCATGGGAAACAGAGAATGCAATACACATTAGTATAGTATAGATATTGACCAGCATTACTAACCTTGAACATGAAATTTGCTGTGGGGAAAATAACATATTGAGTAAGGCATATGAAAAATAATATTCATTAGGAGAAAGGTAACCGATGGATTAAGAAGCGAATTGATAATCATCATACTTACGATGCACCCTTACCTAGCTTAAGGTACATTTCTGTTGATAGCCCTTTCTTAAGGTTGACATACTCCATYGCGTTTGATGTCCTTGACCCACTTGGCTCTTGTTTATCATGATTACTAGACTGCTGACTGTGCTGGTCAGAAGTTGACTCAAAGCATCTCAGGAATGTAGTAACAGCCATGTTGTTGGTAGAGAAGGACTGGGTACCAGGCTTGGTTGGCTGTTCAGGTTGAGTTGCGTAGTACTTGTTAAGACTTGTTAATATTTCTACTGCTTCTGACTTTGTAACGCCTAATAACTGCGCCACTGCCTGTCATCAATGAAAAAAATAACAATGCTGAAGTCTATATTCATTTCTTTTTCTAATAAATTATGTATGTATTTGAAGTTATAATGATTTAGTTTATCAGTTGTTTGTGATGCGCATTTGAGTATTTATGTAGGATTTGCACAATACGAAATAAAGTTATTATTATTATTATTATTATTGTTGTTGTTAAATAAGCTATCTAGAACCACGAGAGTTTTTCTCCAGTTTTTCTCCTCCGTAAAAAATCAACATGTGAGTTAAGAGTTGTGTGCAGAGAATATCTGAATGTAATGAGGAGTACAGTGTTTGACTGAATCAAAGATTTCAATCCTCTAATCCTCTAAAATCTTTAATTCAGTCCAAACCGTCCTCAAGATTTTTTTTTTTCTATTGTGTAGTTCTAGAGAATATCCATAACCCACCCACAGAGGAAATTGGAAATTCTGGAAGAGAGTGGGGTCAGAGAAAGAAAAAAGAATTGGTATGGAAGAAAATTGGAAATCCTGGTTTGATATGTGTGTTTTGCAGGGGGGGTGGGGGTGG